GGGGGCGGGGCCGGCCAGGGGGGCGGGGCCTGGCGCGCTCGCCCGACCCGTCGGGCAGCATTTTCTGCGCAGGGCGCAGACCCGGCCAAAGTTGAGCGCCGCCGCGCGCTCGCAGGGTCAGTCCCGGGAAGGGAAGGAGCCCTGGACACCCCGGACGCCCAGGCGCTCTCTGTCGCCCGCGGAGTCGAGGTCTGCTTGCCCGTTCAGCCTCATGGCCCACCCGCACCCCCGGCTGCCCCCAGCAGTCTCTGCCACACCGCGGAGATCATGGGGACCTCCACCCCACAATTCATTCGTTATTTATTAAGTTCCTATCTTGTGTCCCTTTCCGCAGCCAGCAGAATGGACTGCTCCTTTCCTCGAAGGGTTTGCAGTCTGGTGGGGACGCGGAGAGGTGGCAGGTGTCTGTGCTATGTAGAAGAAGAGATATCGTGTACTGTGGGAGTACACACACCGACCTTTGGAGCCAGAAAAGCCCTCCTGGAGATGATGACTAAGCTAAGACCTGAAATGCAAGGAGTAAGCCACGTATAGAGTGTTCATCACTACTGCTCATATTTAGTCAATGATTTCCGTGGGCCCGGCTGCGAAGCACTTCGCATGTGTTACCTCATTTAATCCTGGCAAGCACCCTTTGAGGTAGGCACTATTATTATCTCATGTTCCCATTTTGCGGATGAGGACAGTGACTCACCCAGGGATTGAGTAACACTCCTGCTCAGTGGCCAAGGCGGGATTTAAACCCCTCAGTCCAACCCTAGCGCCCACTTCTCCACTCTGCTGTCTCCTAGGGGGAGGTGGGAGTTCTAGGCTGAAAGAACTGGCACTTCACAGATGAGGGGGAGGCAAGGGAAGGCATGGTATATTCTTCAGGAACTGGAAATAACCATAGTGCAAAGAGCAAATGGTGGAGAGCGGCCGAAGGGAGCTGAGGCCAGATCAGAGGAACCTGTGTGCTCAGCTAACGGATTTGGCCTTCATCCTGAGGATGAAGTGTTTTTCAACAAGGGAAGACACAGTCTTTACCCATCCCAAAGTCCAGTGTCTGAAAACTGCCTCCCCACCAAGCTCTCCAGGCCCCCCTGCCCTGAACGCTCATGCTCGTGAACTTAGCAGCTCTCTGGGACCATGTCTTCGATTAGAGTCATCCATGAGTGTGCTGTCCCCTGTCCTTCTGGATGGTGGGGGCCAGGTCTTGACCCTCTCTGAATGCCCAGTGTGGCACCAACAGGGAAGATGCTCAAGATATGTTGCTGAGAAGAATTCCAAATGATCCTGTGAAACATGCTCTTTTTGCAAATGAGGAAACTGAGGCCAGCATATGTAAGTGACTTTCCCAAAGTCACACATCCTGTTCTTTACTATCCCCATCATCAACCTCACTACAGCTGTTCCTGTTAGCAATGCTTTATATGCATTTTCTTATCTAATTCTCACAATGACCCCCCAAAGTGGATACTGTTATCACCCCCATTTTACAAATGAAGAAGTCGAGGCCAGACGCATTAGGTTAACTAGTCTTCTAACTCCGGGCCTACTGCTTTTTCACTACACTCCTCTCTTCCCTTTCAAAAGAGGTCGTTTGTGAGAAGTTCCTTCCCATCCTATTTCCACGCAGTCCCCTGCTCTTGGAAAAGTTTTGTAAGACTGAAAGCTGGGTCTGCCTTTCAATAAAAAGTGGTCAAAACGCAGCTGTTGAGAGCCAACATGGGTTAGAGACAGCTACATGGTTACCTCAGGAGGAGGCTAATGATTATTGTTGTTTTGTTACTTTGCCCTGGGGAGAAAGGAAATAGGCTGCTGTTCAGACTAGTCAAAATAACCTGGCGTAGTCAATGTCTATTTATATCGTGTTGACCACCCAATTGGCCACCCAAGATGGAGTCACCATTTAAGAGGAAGGGTGGTCCACGGATTCATTTTTTCCTCCATCCGCTCAAGTCTTTTTCAGGTTTTTAGTATAATACCTTTTACACTGTGTTATAATTCTTTACAGAAGCAACAGTCTGCTCCCCAGCTTGTGAGCTTGTGTAGGAACTGGGTCCTGTTTATATCTCTACCTGCCCAGTGTCTAGCACAGATCATTGGCATGTGGTAAGTGCACAGTAAATGTTGAATGACGAAACGATATTACAGAGCAAGATTTCAACTCACAGTCAAGCAAAACGACACTAAGATCCTTGCCAACCCATGTTCTAGGGTGGGCCAAGGTCTCCAAGCAGTTTACCAACAGAAGCAGCCAGAGCCCCAGGATCATCCCAGCCAGGTCAGTTCCCCAGCACTGGCTGTCGCCAAGGACTGTGGATGGTGACTGGGCAGATGCCAGGCTCTGGCTTATGCCATAGCGCCTCCCTCCCAGGCCAACACTGGAAGCTGAACTCACAAGGAACTGCAAGAGAGAGGAAAGTGGGAGCCCCCAGAAAGTGGGGAAGGAAGGGAAAGAAGGGAAATGGGAGACAAGTAGGACTGAGAAATTATTGGAAAGGTAGATATGGAACAGAGAGGAAGAAGTCGAAAATGAGTCACAGTCACAGGTTTCTATGAATAGTTCCGGGAGAAGATAAAAAAGGACGATTGACTCTTTTCAAACGAGGAATCAAAGGCCAGGAACTTCTGCCCCAGTCTGAAGTCCTCCAGAGTCTACAGAACAGAGAGTGCAGAAGAGGACAGAAGGGAGAGGAACAGGGCCAGGGCTCTGGTGTGGGAGGTCACCGTATTCCCTTTAGATGCCCAGCCCGGTGCAAGGCTCTCCCTGAGCACTGGTGATGGAGGGTTGCCCCTGTTTGGGCTGGAGGGAACAGGAGCTGTGACAAAACTGTCTTTGTTGCCATCCCTTCTTATAGTAATAGCCCCATATGCCTAAGAGCTGTCCCAGATTTATTTGCTGAAGCACAGGTGTGTAGAAAATTCCAGATGTTTGTACCAACACCTTTCATTTTCTTGAAATCAATTTCTGAATTGTAACCTCCATCTCCAGTCCTGGTTCCTAGAAATCTCTTTCACATCCTCCAGGTCTCTGCTTTCTTGTCTTTGTTGCTTTGTGCTAAACCCTCTCCAAGCTCAATTGGCAACCTTAGTTGAGAGGCTTATGATGAGACCCATTTCTCCAGCAAAGTCCTGAGCAGCAAAGACTATCGTCATTTCTCTGCAGAAATGATCAGGAATTAAATTGCTACATAAGGGCACAGAGTAGGTGAGCCCAAGCAATATAAAGCTTCCTGATATTTTGTGCCCTCTTCAGTCTTGTGTCTCTGAAGCTTCCCTTTTGTCCTTGCTGTAGATTGAATGCCCTCCCCTGCAACCCCATTGAGGCTTAATCCCTACTGTAACTGTTGAGGGTGGGAAATCCTACTACAGTAATTGAAAGGTGGGGCCTTGAAGAGGTGATTGGATTGTAGGACCATGCCGTAGTGAGTGGATTAATAATGGTGGTCGGGGTGTGGTTCTGAGGGCTTTAAAAGGAGAGTGAATGAGGAGGTTAATATCTCTCTCTGCTTCACTATTTTCACAATGTGATACTCTGCCATCACTGTCACCACCACCAAGACCTTCACCAGATATGTTCCCTGTACTTTGGACTTCCCAGCCTTAGAAACTGTAAGCAATGAATTTTGTCTTCTTACAAATCACCCAGGTCCAAGTATTTTGTTATAAGCAACAGAAATGGACCAATACAGTCGTCTTCCACTCAGCTGTGACAATATCCCAAAGTCCTGGTGTATTCTCCTGCTCTGTATTTCTTTTCATTTTTTAGCCAGCTGGCAACTATGGGGATCCAAAGCCCTGACCTTGGTGTTATAAGGCTATGCTCAAACCAACTGAGCCAACCAGCCAGCCCTCTCGTTCTGAATGCCAAACAGACCAAGCTTTCACAATGGAAAAAGGACACATTTTCAACCCAAGGACAAAGGTATTGAATTACAAAGCCCTTTTGAATAAAGTAGAACAAGAAACACCCATATTCACTGGGGCATCTGAGGAGCAGAGAACAGGGCCTGGAGATAAGGAAGGCAGACTGAGAGGAACCTAATATTCTGGCCAAGTCACTCGGATACACAGCTTTTATAAGCTTGTCTAGACACAGGGGCTGGAACCTGCTGCTGACCCACCTTGGGGAATACAAGCTGATTGAAAACAATTATGCTGGTTCACCAGTTAATCCAATGAACAAATGAGCAATTGGCAGAGTAATAATAAGCCAACTCCTTGAACAAATATGTACCAAGCACCTATGTGTCAGGCACTGAGGACACAAAGATGAGTAAGATAGCCCCTGCTTTCTAGGAGTTCATGATCAAACTGGGAAGAGAGACATGCACTTAGCAAATAACATGATAGCTAAACTTATATGGCACTTGCTGTGTTCAAAAGCTTAAAGTACATCAACACATTTA